GCCTGTACTCACAAATATACCGCTCCAGATACAAACACATGCTATATACGGCCTGTACTCACAAATATACCGCTCCAGATACAAACACATGCATGCTATATACGGCCTGTACTCACAAATGTGCCACTCCAGATACAATATATGTTACATGTAGATACGACAGCTAGTCACAAATACGCCACTCCAAATACAAACACGTGCTATATATGGCTTGTACTCACAAATATACCGCTCCAGATACAAACACATGTTATATACGACTTGTACTCACAAATATGCCGCTCCAGATGGGCCCGGCGATGTAGGTGAGGAAGGTGGGCCGGTCCTTGGACGCCATGGTGGCGACGGCGGCGGTACCGAGGATGATGCTGAGCGTCCCCAGGACCACCAGCGTCCAGCCCAGCCTGTGGATAGCCTTAGCGTGGTACGCCATGGTTCTGGGAGGGAGGCAACAGGCTGTCACTATTACAGGTTTGTTATGAACCTTACCATGACCTTAGAACTTTGTTTTCAGTATGAAAATATTGTTGGCAACAATTCTGTATCATTGGAATAAGATAATAACTTTTTATGTTGCCATGGCAACGGGTTTCTGACAGGCATTTTTTGCTAAATTTAGTAATTTTAGTTTCAACAATAGAATTTTATGGGTTTTACGTCAAGTTACACATGGTTTCTAATATTTATAACATCCCAGATATTATTATGTAATTTTTATAATTAGAAATGCATAATTTATGCTAATTTGATGACGTCATTGGCCAAAATCCAAGATGGCGGACCATATTATTAGAACATGTATATACAGGTTATTTGTCCTTAAAGTTTCATCAAAACTTTCATTTCTTTTTACAAAAAAGGTTTATATGGACGTCTTTACTCTGTTTACAATGTATTTTAGGCTTTATCCCGAAAAAAAAACTATGTTTGAAAATTCAAAATTCAACACCACTTAAAATTAAATATCAGGTTTGCGATGTGTAAATGAATAGTTGGTAATCAATATTCCACCTTAACATCTAAATTTTCCTTTTGCTTTGAGCCAAAAAATTACCTACATCTTTAGCAGTTTTCCCATTGGAATCCATACAAGCCCCAGTATACAATATCAACCCCCTCCCCCTCCTACTAATGTTGTCGGTTCTATGACGACAACAACGCCCCCCCCCCCCCCCACACACACACACATACACAAACATACACACACACAATGCAGGCCTCCAAGCAGGCCTTCGTAGTTAGTTTGGATTCAGTATGGCGGACAACATAAACTCGCCCGTTCTTACCTGTTTATTCAGTCAGTCCTTGAGCGGTGACCTGGCACTACTACCGTCGGGACGGGTCGCTTGGTGTGCCGAGGAGGCCCTTGTGTGTTGGAGGGTCCTGGCGGGGGTGTTACGGGTTCGGTCTCCTGTGCGTTGGAACTCCAGAGGGTGTAAAAGGAGCACACCTTTCCGTGCTCGGTCGTACCAAGGAGCTTTTATCACAGCTCCTTGGTCGTACCTGGCATCTAACTGCGCAGGTGAAATTACAGGATAGGGAAGATGACATCATCATGTTTGTACAACAATAATATTGGAAACCGCTAGGTGGCGGTTTAGTACTTCACGTCCTGCGAAGACGGGTGGAACGAGACGAAGTGTTGATTGGATTTTGCTTTTATACGACGTCTTTATTGGTTTTGCAACCACAAACATACATATGCAAGGTAAGACAAAAGTCTCCCTGAAGCGGGTAGTTTGTTACAATCAACACATAATACAATACAATCAATGAACAATAAACAGTAGTGAAATACAGCTTAAAGATAACAAAACTGGACGCAGATACAGCATGGGGTAGCTTATGAAACAGACTCGTTATACAGTTTTATTGCACAGTGAACAAATGACCTTTTCAGTCGCTCAGTCCTGGCTTTTGGCACAGTGAAGGCACTGTCATTCCGCAAGCGTCTACCTGTAGCTGTGGACCGTAGGGGGGCACTAGGTCCTGTAGTGGGTGCTCAGGCTTTATCATAGCTGTGAACAGCTTCAAAGCGGCCACTTCCCTCCTTTCTTTCATAGAAGGGAGCTTTGGGACTGTTCGCTTTCCCCCGAGGGAGATGATGCGCACAGCGCATTTTTGACTCGTTCCATATTAGTGTACAGCTCGTCACTACAGCCAACAAGCAAAACATGACCATACTATAGTATAGGGCGAATCAGCGACAGATACACTTGCACCAAGTCGGCGACACTCATTCCATGTTTTGTCAGTAACCGCAGATAATGCAGCCTGCTGGAGGCCTTGGAAACTGCTGACTTTACATGTGCTTGCCAGGATAAAGTACTGTCAAAAGTAAACCCGAGGCCCTTTGCAGTTGTTGTAACAGGAAAAAGTTCGCCTCCAAGAGACAAGGGTGGGAGTACAGGAATGTTACTACTGAAGCAGATCTGCAACTGCTGACTCTTTTTTTACCGTTCAGTATCATGTCATTTTTACCAGCCCACGTATCGAGTTGCAACGCTTCTGCTGACATAGTGCTGTCTGTGCCACATGACCGACAGGGGATTGACCTGGACAGGCCAACGTCATCAGCATACCCCACATCTAGGGTGTCATTATAGACTGTGGAGCGGGAGCTCATGTACAGGAGGAATAAGTAGGGCGACAACACCCCTCCCTGCGGTACCCCCGACGTGAGCAACTGCCAACTGCTGACCTTGCCGTTCACGAAGACTTCACGAGTTACAGCTGCGAACGTACAAACATAACTACTAATGGTTACTATACTGTCAGAGCAACTGATTTCCACCAGACCATTCTAAAACTTTATGCGTACTACTCTTCGGAGACAGTACTAACGATTAACACAAACGGGACTTTACAAATCAGGACTTTATTTGCATAGTCAAGAAGAAATCTCTAAAAAACCTCATGCTTAAAGGTGAATACCACTTGGCGAAGGTAAGAGGTCTTGAAAGTGTTTTACCTTGACATAATAAAACATACAATGTGTCTTGCATAGGAAAACGTTTCTCATACAAATCAATATAAACGCAGACAATTTTGGTCATTACAACTTTAAACTTTCTGTACGTACAGCGTTGTCAAATGGAACAAAATAAACACGCAGGGCTTTTACAGACTTCAAGCCCATTTATACACTGTCAGCTAAAACATCGATATTATGCTGTTCTTTAATAATACGTCTGATTAAAAAGATAATATCATGTTTGTTAAAGGAGCACTATGTAATATTTTTGCCCCAAATTTTTTTTTAATATTTGTGTAATTATTATCTATTTCCATTGTTTTGCAGTCATCAAATATTCCAGACATTATGATTGACAGGCGTCCGGTACTACCACTAATTAAACAAACTTGCTCAAGCTTTTAAACACATATAAGGGGTCATATTTTTCAGGAGTTCATCAGAATTTTACTAAATTCATACGATCCTTACTAGGAAACATACGAAGTTTACGGAATACATACGATCCATTACGCGGAATACATACGGTCCATACTAATTTGGTGACTTGCTCTTGCACCACGATCAGGTGACATCGGCAGCAAATTCAAGATGGCGGACTATTATAGCAAAGTTTTCCCTACAATATCTTGGTTTCAAAGAATTTTAAGGGTTATCTTAAGTATAAGTATCTTAACGTACCTTTCAGATACTCATTTACACAGAATACAATTCACAAAACAATCGGAAAGAAATCTGTCATATTACATGTACATACATGTATAATCATGACTTGTTTATTTTTTTGTTTATTGTCCTTTCGCACATAAAAAAAAAGTAATGGTATAAAAGAAATTATGTACAATCAAATACATGCAGGAGAGCCCAAGAAACCAGGAGGTTTATCTAGTGGGCTCTCCCAAATCCTGTTGATGATCTCATATTTACAACATTATTTACGTTAACAATTTACATGCATGTCTTAAGGGACAAACAAGAGAAAATTAACTCAAACAAGATAATATAAAGTTAACACGGCAAACTAAATATCTAAACAATAAAGTAAGACAATCAAAAACATATCGTATTCAACAAAAAATACATTTCCGTTAGTCAAATCATAAGTTAATATGGTAAGAACAACATAAGAAACCAATATTAACGCAAGGAAAATATCGTAGCATAAGAAAACAAGGAAAACAAAAGCAAATCAGGAAGTGGTAGATGGCTTCTCTATTAGGTCAGTTTTTAAATGTCGTTTGAAAGTTGGAAGGGATTGGCAATTCTGCTGTGAGTGACTTAAACTGTTCCAAATTAAGGGGCCTCTAAACATTATCGTAAACTGTTTCATATTTGATTTTGTTAGAATTGGCCTTAAATCATTTTGCTTTCTGGTACTGTAACTGTGGATATCTGAGTTGTATTGAAATATGTCCTTGAATTGAACTGGTAATTGTGAACTTTTGTGTAAGACTTTGTGGACGAAAATTGCTGTTTGGAGTTTATTTATGTCGTACACTGTTAAAATTTTCAAGTTGTAAAATAGAGCCGCAGAGTTAGCAAAAAATGGGACATTAGATGCAATCCTAACGAAGCGCTTCTGCAGCTGATGCAGCGGTCGGATTGAAGTAGTGTATGTACTAGCCCAGACTATATTACAATATGTTAAGTAGGGATAAATCAAAGTATAGTACAGAGTGATAAATATTTTACGTGATAGGCAACTTGCAACTTTTCTTATTATACCAATGTTCTTATAGATTTGTTTACAAATACGGTCAATATGAAACTTCCATG